TCTCGAAATATATCTATGCTCACTGTCATCCCTAACCTGCGAAGTGGTACATAAGCTGGCGACATCGTGATAACCACTAGTCGGTTAATTGTCTGGATTGTTCACTTACAACAAATTTCCAGGGAAATTGCTCTTCGAATACATGGTCCAAGTTGGTCATACAAGGGACAATCGTTGAGCATTGCATTTTTAAATGTCAAACTACACTTTAAGCGGCCAAGCGTTGGTAACCATTTGATTCAAGCGTATCCATCGAACTGGAAACATACGCAATATTTTGCCACCCTAGCCTTGATCCGTATCAAGCACACAAATCGCTCGGAAACATCACGCGCACGTCAATTACGAATATGACCTCGTGGATGGACTGAACCATTATTCTGCGATGCACCGGCTCTCTAAGCGTCGTGCTAATTATAGCATTGGGCAGCTGGTCAAGCTACGGTTATGTAATCTACAAATCGATTTCAAGGAGCAGAATGTAAATAGCATAGTCTGGTGAGTAATACCATGGAGGTTACCTAGTGATGGATCGCGGCCGAATAATAATACGAAGAGGAAGATGCCGTAACTCACCGTCTCGGTGTGTCACCATACTAGATTCCATTTGAGAAGGTAACAAGAATAGCATAGGTCATGATGAGTACAACATTGTACTAGGCAACACGTGAAGTCATCGCTAAATGCAACCTACTTAAGTAAGCTCAATAAGGGTAGGTTAGATGTGGCTCATCCGTTCTAGGCACCAAGGCGGTAGTTAATCATTCTGGAATGAAACTGTACCCAAGCGCAACTTACATGTGGGATATAGAATATGGATGACACAAAGAAAATGACGTAGATGGAGTAAGCAACTTTTCAAGTTAGCAGGGAAATGGATGCGATTATGCCAACTGCAGGCTATTTGTGTCGGAAGGTAAAACTGGAGCCAGTCCGGTCTTCTCTTGTCCTAGGTGAACGAGAATCAACAGGGATTTAGAACCACCAGGCAGCCCGTCGTGTGGTCATTCATTCTGACTGCTAGCATATCTCGACCAATTCATCAGTGCCTAGAATGCTGCCTGTGCCCAAGCATTTTACTTTGAATGTCACATCGTATTGCCGCTGTTCCGGAATCAACCTTGATGACTTGTCTGAATCTCAGTGCGTTTACCTGAAGGCGGCAGCAGTACAGTGGGGCGTATAGAGACACTTGAGATGGGATACATTGACCTCATATTGCAACCCGCAATAACTCACAGTGTCACACGAGAAGAAATGTAATAAGATCAATCTGTCAAGTGGGAATGTATCGACACACGAACGGATGTTAGCGGGACTTGCAATTTATGCGAGCCCCATTTAGACAGATAATGGTGTTACGCGAGTGAAAGTGCCATCAGTCTGTCAGACTGAAACGTGGCACTTAAGTGTTTCTAAATGGCTTCCACTTAGTCATTCATTCAACATGAGATATCAGTCGACATACCAAAGGTCCCTGGTTCGAGTTGCAGTACTGCAGTGTTGCGAACGGGCTTTTGTTCACACTTGTGTATGGACTACCACAGACTAGATGGAGAAACAATAACCCTCATGAGCAATAACACTACGAACGTGTGCGAGTATGGATTGAATGTAAGAATAACAGCCATATTCCACTAGTGTTGGAAGATCTCACGTACAAGTATAAGCAACCAATACGATTGTCGTTGGTTAGTTAACATTTAAATGTCAACCTAACTGACAGTCATAAATTTAGTCAGAAGTGTGGGCATCAGCAATAGATAGAGACAGATAGAGGAATAGGGAAGTATATGTCATCAATACGGTTACCAGGTGGAATGATACACAAATAAGAGGTACAATAAAAACGGTGATGTCTTATCGTTAGTGTGTGCTACGGGTGCCATCTGCTATATGCCTTAGAAGACGGTTATATCACAGATTCTCTGATAACCGCTATGACACGATCACAGGAAGAATACATCTGTCCTACATTCGGCTATCATTGAAAAAGTGCTCAATCTGTTTTAGCCATTCTGCCCTACAATTCAATTGTTACTGTGCGTGGATTTATTTTTTAATGCAATATTTACTTAAACACTACCGTACCACCA